CCCGGCGGGCAGCGCCGCAGCCGCTTGCGCGTTCCCCACCGCCGGGGGGCGGCGCCGCGCGCCTCTGGGGCTCCCGGCCGGTGCGCTCGCTCGGGGACCTCGCCTTGAAGCAGGAGAATCGGGCCTCTCCCAGAAGAAGGCCATCTGCGGGGGGCTCTTTTCTTTTAAGAGGACCCGTGGGAGTCGCAGATTTTCCGCGAAGTGAAGAATCTTGTTGGGGGATTTTTTTTTTCACCCCCACCCCACCCCCTTCAGCCCTTTGTAATTAAAAAACCCTTTCAGCACTAAACAAGCAGGCCAATTCTTCCCTTTCCAGTTTGAGTATTTGTGGCAGAAGGCAAAGATAGCCAAGGCAAAGCAGCCAAATGGGATGAATATAGGCGCTCAGGTGAAAAGAAGAAAGGCAGAGGAGAGGAAGCCCTAAGACCCTAGCACCAAGGGGAGCTGGGGGCTCGGGGCTCGGCCCCCACGGGGAGTTAAACTCTTTCTAACCTCCCAGGCACCCAGAGACCCTGGCTGCCTTTATTCGTGTCCAATCTTGGAAGCCTAATTACTGAAATGACGGTTATTTTTTTTTTCCCCATGGCATTCTGGAAACTTGTATGTAAGCAAAGAAATGACCGTGTGCAACGTTCCTCGGAAGAACCTGGAAGTATACGTTGATTTAATACCTACGGCCTGAGATCTCCTTTGGTATTCAGACCCTCTTAGTGTGGCTGATTTTTATTATTTGTGAAATTTGCTCCATTCCGTTTTGTCTGAAGGTTTTATTGGAAATTAGCAGTGATTTCTTTAGTTTAAGAATCCAAAACTAACCAAATCTGTTTTCTTCTCTATTTTGGGCCCTGGTGATTGTAAATAAGGAGAAAAGAAACAAATACTTAAAAAATATATTGCTCTTAGTGCTGAAAAATCTCATTCTTCATAGCGGAAAGTAGCCCTATTTTTGCTGACAAGGAAACAGTTGCTATTGCAATCAATTGATGAGCATTAATTGTGTTTCGAATTCAAGCTTCTCTGAATACTGTGCCTACATTGTTTCCTTTATACATTGAAAACAATTTAAGAGAAAAAGTGTCCCCTAAATGTTGAGCCAGTGCTCGTAGTTCCTTTGTTATGACCAACAATTCAGGGGCCCTCCTCTGCCTGGGCTGAGCAAAACATCTCATAAAGTCAGAAGAGCAGTAGAAGTCCAATTACAATGCAAACAATACTATCCAGTACTTCAAAAGATCAGGTGAGGAAGTCTCTTTGACATTACAGTAACACAGAATTATCAAATAAAAGAAAAATAATTCATAGCTGGAGGGCATCTAAGAAGCCATTTGTTCCCCTTCCATATAGGAGAGAAGAACTAAAAGCTGGGTTCCAAAGTTCGTATTTGTCCAAGATCAGATATGACCAGATCAGATGTCTCAATTTTTGCTTTTGAGGTCTAGAATTATCAGCAGGGGAGGTAACTCAGCGGTCTAACCCCCTACCTGGCAAGAGCAAGGACCCAAGTTCGATCCCCGGAACCACATGCCTGTGTCACCAAAACCAGGCAGTGGGGCATTGTGGTGCATGCCTGCAATCCCAGCGGTGAGGAGGCTGAGACAAGAGGATCACTGTGAGTCAGGAGGGGGAGGGGAAGAGAGAGGGGGAGGGGGAGGGAGAAGGGGAGGGGGAGGGAGAAGAATTAACTTTAGGCCTCCTAAAAATTCCTTAAAATGTTACTAAGGGGCTGGGGAGATGGCTCAGTGGAGTAAGCGCTTCCCTGGCAAGCGCAAGGGCCTGAGTTCAATCCCCGGTTCCACCAAAAAAAAAAAAAAAAAATGTTACTAAGGCAATATTCCACATTAATGATTATACAGATTTTGAAATTGTTTTATTTTTATTTGAAATTGTAATCAATGTCATTGCCCACCCACATTCTTACATTCTTACCAACACTTATCTAGCCCATGTACAATTTCACAGTAGCTCTGGTTCTTGTCTTTGCTTTGTTTGAGTTCATTAGGGTTGCTGTAACAAAAATGCCATAAAGTAGGTAGCTTAGCAACAAACGTGTGTCTCTTACCCCTAGAAGCTGAGGAAGCAAAGGTCAAGGCACTAGCAATTTCAGCACCTGGTGAGGCTGGTGTTCTGGCACATCCATGGCCATCTTGTTGTGACCTCACACGGCAGGAGAAAGTGAGAGAACTCTCTAGAATTTCTCCTATGAAGGCATTAATCCCATTCATTAGAGTTCTGCCCTCCTGACCTGATCACTTCTAATGGCCTCCCTTGACATCATTGCACTGGGCATTAGGATTTCAGCATACAAACTTGGAGAGAAAAAAATAGAGTCCACAACAACTGTTCAATTACATGACATATAAAAGCACCAAGTAATAATCATTAAATACTATTTTCAAAATTACTTTCTCTCCTATTGTCCATATAACATTGGGTCCAGACTTCCCTCTTCTAAGAACAATCACTTCTCTCATATTATCCTTCTATTATATATGGCTGAGTGTATTTCTTAAAGGTTGCTAGGTTTTTAATTTATAAACTGTCACAATGCATAAATATAGCGATTGAAAAGCTTGGCTTCTGCAGCATTACTTTGCTTATCGTTGGCTTTAAATTTCATCTATCATTGTATTATTTTGAAATCCTGACAGACCAATCTGGAATTCTTTCTGTTTCCTTTTAACCTTCACTAACAAATAATTACATCCCCATAAAAATGCTAACATTTCATAGATATTTTGCCATGCTTTTCTCACAAGGAAAAACTAGAGTTATAACATCACAAAATATTCATTAAATATCGGGCCATTCATTTTCAAAATGAAGTTTGCCGTTCCTTTTGCTCTTAGCTTCCTGGAATTTCAAAATATGTATCGCCTGTCCCCTGTTCTTGGGCAGCTACGCTGCAGATCATAAGCGGTGTTGACATCTAAATCAAATCACATCTTTTATTTTTATCCCTTTTATTTCTTTCATTTAAAAAACTACTGCCTTAAAAACTATCAATCCTCATCTAGAGCCTCATTCTCCTATCACGGTTTTCTCATAAAATTATAAGTAAGGGCACCTGAGAATACTGCTTTCTGATGTTTCCAACTGGCAATCTCCCACTCCCAAAACTGCTCTGGGGCAGTACAGAAGAGCAGCAGAGTTCTGCAAAATAAATTATCAGCTTTTTATAAGCCCTTCTCCCTCTAGGTGCTCATCTAGCTCATCTAAATGCACACCCTCATCATATCTGTGCAAACCCACACACGCCCATCCACAGAACATCAGCCAGGAGAGTTTATTTTCCCATACAGCAGCCCACTCTGACGGTTGCATTTACTTAAAAAGCACAAGCACAGTAGACTTCCGTGGCCCATGGGGTTTATTGGCACCGCTCTGGTCAGTTCAGCATGTTGATGTCGTCCCCCTATCTTCCATAAATTGCCATACCCAAGGCAGCGGACAACCTAGGTGGGTTCCCCACATCCTCTCAGGCCCTTACTGTTCTGCATTATTTCCTGCTTTCGGGTGTAACATGATACACCAATGTGAGCGAGGTCATGCTGCAGAGGCCAAGCTTTTCAACAACTATGTTTATGCACGGTGACAGCTTATAAATTAAAAATCTAACAAGTTGGCCATCACCAGGGATACTATAATAGAGGTGATCGTTCTACCAAAAGAGAAGCCTGGACCTGATGTTGTGCTGACAATGGCAGGAGGTAACAGTGGCTGAAAAGAGAGGTGAAAACCTGGAATGTGTAGGTGCACACTGAACACACTGAGAACCCCGTAATCCACAGTGCCTGGAAGCAGAAGAGTGCTCACATTTTGTATTTTTTTCAGATTTTGGAATATTTCCAGGTACAGAATGAGAAACTATACCAGTTTTATTTTTTCAGTCATTCAGTGAACACATATGGGATACATATTAAAAGACACTGTGACCAGTTCTGATGTGGATAATCCCTTTTGTCTTTCATATTTTTCCAGATTGTTGACTTTTCCATATATAAGGAGAAATCTTAGGGACGGGATCAACTCTAAACATGAACTTCATTTGAGTTTTATTTAGCTGTACCTTGAACACAAACCCTGAAAGTAATTTTACGCAATATCTTAGCGCATTTTGAGACCCACTGCATAAGGTCAGGTATGGCATTTTTCCACCTGTGACATCATGTTGGCACTCAAGAAGTTTCAGATTTTGGGGCTGGCAAGATAGCCACAGTGGACTAAGCGCCTGCTTAGGCAAGTATAGTAGACCAGGTTCTACCCCTGGCACTATGTGCCACGCTGACCGTGCCCCAGGTGGGCTGAGCTGGCCAGGAGACCATCAGGTGTGGTGGACACGCCTGTAATTCCAGTGCTGGGGACGCTGAAAACAGGAGGATCACCACAAGTCCAAGCTGTGTAGTGAGACCCTGTATCTAATTAATTAATTAATTAATCTTTAAAATTATAAAAATTAATGTCTGTAAACAAGTCATTCATATTTTTTCTTTTTTTTTCTGTATTTTAAGCAAGGGTCTACAGGGTGTTCAGTGTCCCTCTA